TCCTTCAGTCTCTGCTCTATCTTTATCCCTGCACATCTTGTAGGCAGGGTAAATTTTGGATCAAAGTTTTTGTGGGTGGGTTGGTGTTCCCCTTCCTCCACTAGGAGTTCATCTAAATAGAGAGTGGCCGCTTCAGTCTCTATGACATCTGCTACGTAGAGTCTCAGTTAGAGTCACCCCATATTCTCCAGGAGCCTAACCTGTCATAGGTCTCCAACTTGTCTCAAAGATACCTCTGCCCATGGTTTCTCTTCTCTTTGCAAGCATTCTGTCCTCCAACCCCCTCTCTGCAGTCCGATCTACACCTACATTTCTCTCCATGCTCATTCTTCAACCCTGTTCCCTCTCTTCAACCACTTCTGCTATCTATTCTATTTCCAGTTCTGAGTGATATTTAAGTACCCTCCCTTGGGTCCTCCTTGTTACTTATTTTCTTGGGTCTGTGAATTGTAGTATGGTTATTCTGTATTATATGGCTAATAGCCACTTATAAGTGAGTACATACAATGCGTGTCTGAGTCTGAGTTACCTCAATCAAGATGATCTTTTCTAGTTCTACCCATTTGCATTCAAATTTCATGATTTCTTTCTTTTTAATAGCTGAGTAGTATTGCATTATGCAAATGTACCACATTTTCTTTACTCATTCTTTGGTTGAGGGACATCTAGGTTGTTTCCAGATTTTGGCTGTTACAAATAAAGCTGCTATGAACATAGTTGAGCAAGTGTCCTTGTTGTATGGTGGGACATCTTTTGGATATATGCCCAGGTATGGTATAGCTGGGTCTTTAGGTAGAGCTATTTCCAATTTTCTGAGAAACTGCTAAGTTGTTTTCCAAAGTGGCTGTACAAGTTTGCACTCCCAACAGCAATGGAGGAGTGTTTGTTTTGCTCTACATCCTCACCAACATGAACTGTCACTTGAGACTTTGATCTTAGCCATTTTTATGTGTGTAAGAGGGAATCTAATCTCAGAGAGTTGTTTGGATTTGCACTTCTCTGATAATTCAGGTTGTTGAATGTTTTCTTGAGCGCTTCTTGGCCATTACAGTTTCTTCTATGAGAATTTTCTGTTTAGCTTTATACCATATCTTAAAAAAATATATTTATTTATTTATTCACTTTATATCCTGATTGTAGTCCCCTTTTTCCTGTTCTCTAGGCCCCCTCTTCCCTCCTTCACTATTCCTCAGAAAAAGGGTGCTCCCCTTACCAACCCACTTCAGCTCATCAAGTCGAATCAGGACTGAGCACTTCCTCTTCTTCGTGGTCTGGTGAGGCAGCCCCACCAGGGGGAAGTCATCAAAAAGCAGGCAATAGAGTCCATGTCAGGGACTTCCCCAGTCTCCTTACTAGGGAATACACATGAAACCCGAGATGCTTATTGGCTATATCTGTGTAGGGGGCCTAGGTTCAGTCAATGCATGGTCCTTGATTGGTGCTTCAGTTTCCTCAAGCCCCCCTGGGCCCTGGTTAGTTGGCTCTGTTGGTCTTCTTGTGACGCTCCTGTCACCTCCACATCCTTCTATTCTTCCCACCACTTTTCCACAAGACTTCTTATGCTTCCCCCAAGGTATGGCTGTGAGTCTCAGCATCTGTTTCAATCTGCTGTTGGGTGGAGTCTCTGAGAGGACAGCTACGCTAGGCTCTTGTCTGTGAGCACAGCAGAGTATTGTTAACAGTGTCAGGGTTGGCTCTCTCTCATGGGGTGGGTCTCAGGTTGGGCCAGGCATTGGTTGGATATTCCCTCAATCTCTGCTCTCCCTTTATCCCTGCACATCTTGTAGGCAAGGTGAATTTTGGGTCAAAGGTTTTGTGGGTAAGTTGGTGTTCCCTTCCTTCCAAAAATAGTCCTGCCAAGTTAGAGGATGTCCTGTTTAGTCTCCATGCCCCCTGCTACTAGGAGTCTCAGCTCGAGTCACCACCATATCCTTCCAGAAGCCTATCCTGTCTTAGGTCTGCAGCTTGTTACAGAGATGCCTCTACCTACAGTTTCTCTTCTCTCTGCAGGTCCTCTGTCCTCCGCTGTCCGCCATAACACGCCCCTCCCCAGGTCTGATCATCACCCTCATTTCCCTTTGTGCTCCCTTTCCTATGTTGTTCCCTCTCTTCAACTACTTCTGGTGTCCATTCTATTTTCCCTCCTGAGTGAGATTTAAGCATCTTCCCTTGGGTCTTCCTTGTTACTTATTTTCTTTGGATCTTTGAATTGCAGTATGTTTATCCTGTATTATATAACTAAAATCCACTTATAGAGGAGTACATAGCATGTGTGTCTATCTGGGTTACCTTACTCATGATGATCTTTTCTATTTCTATCCATTTGTATTCAAATTTCATGATTTCCTTATTTCTAATTGCTGAGTAGTATTGCATTCTGTAAATGCACCACACTTTCTTTATCTATTGTTTGGTTGAGGGACATCTAGGTTGTTTCCAGATTCTGGCTATTACAAATAAGGCTGCTATGAGCATAATTGAGCAAGTGTCCTTGTTGTATGGTGGAGCATCTTTTGGATAAATACCCATGAGTAGTATAGTTGGGTGTTGCCATAGAGTTATTCCCAATTTTCTGAGAAAGAGCCAGATTGATTTTCAAAGTGGTTGTACAAATTTGCACTCCCACCAGCAATGGGGAATGGTACTCCTTTCTTCACATTATCACCAGCATGTGCTGTCACTTGAGTTTTTGATCTTCACCATTCTGACAGGTATAAGATAGAATCTCAGAGTCTTTTTGGTTTGCATTTCCCTGATGACTAAGGATATTGAGCATTTCCTTAAGTGTCTCTTGGCCATTAGAAATTCCTCTGTTGAGAATTCTGTTTAGCTCTGTACCCCATTTTTAATTGGATTGTTTTTTGTTGGTGTTTAGTTTTTTGAGTTTTAAAATATTTTTTGGATATTAGCCCTCTGTCAGATGTAGGGTTGGTAAAGCTCTTTTCCAGTCTGCAGGCTGCCATTTTTTTTCTGTTGACAGAACATTTTCAGTTTCATGAGGTACCATTAATTAATTGTTGATCTTAGAGCCTGAGCTCTTGGCGTTCTGGTCAGGAAGCTGTCCTCCTGTGTCAGTGAGTTCAAGGCTCTTTCTCACCTTCTCTTCCATTTGATTTAGTGTATCTGTTTTTTTGTTAAGGTCTTTGAGCTACATGGACTTGTGTTTTGTGCAGGGTGATAAATATGGACATTTTGCATTTTTCTACATGTAAACATCAGTTAAATTAGCATCATTTGTTGAAGATGCTGTCTTTTTTCCATTGTATGGTTTTGGCTCCTTTGTAAAAAATAAGTGTTTATAGGTGTAGGGGTTTGTTTCTGGGTCTTCAGTTCCATTCCATTGATCAATGAATATATTTCTATGCCAGTACCATACAGTTTTTATTACTATTGTTCTGTAGTATAGCTTGAAGGCAGGGAATGAGATACCTCCAGAAGTTCTTTTATTGTATAAGACTGTTTTAGCTAATTTTTTTTTGTTTTTTTATATGAGGTTTAGAATTGTTCTTTCCAGGTCTATAGAGAATTGTGCTGGCATTTTTATTGGATTGCATTGAATTTGTAGATTGCTTTTGATAAGAAGGTCATTTTTACTATGTTAATCCTACTGATCATGAGCATGGAATGTTTCTTTTTTTTATTTCAGTTTATTTACTTTCCCTCCTCTCCTCTCAGTCCCCCTTCTCTCTCTTTTCTCTCTCCCCTTCTCCCAGAAAAGTAGAGCCCGCTACCCCCATATCAACTCTCTAGAACACATCAAGTCACATGGGATCCTGTATGCCTGAGATGCTCTCTTCCATCTCTTGTATTCTGCTAGTGATGCTTGCATTGTAGTTTCTGTTCTCTTACCTAGGTTTTCCATCTCCATAATTTTCTTAGTTGTGCTTTCTTTATTTCTTCTATTTCCATTTTCAGGTCTTGAACAGTTTTATTCATTTCCTTTACCTGTGCTATTCTATTTTCCTATATTTCTTTAAGGGGCTTTTTATTTCATCCTTAAAGGCCTCTATCATCTTCATAAGATTGTGTTTAAGGTCTTTCTTTTTTGTGCTTCATCTGTGTTGGAATATCCAGGGATTTCTGTAGTTTGATAGCTGGCTCTGGTGGTACTATACTGCCCTGACAATCTTGTTTTGTTCTTTAGCTGGCCTATAGTCTTCTGGGTTTGCGGTTATTACAGGTTTAGGCATTATTTTCTGGATTTATCTTTGTTAGATTTTTTTTGGCGGTGTTTTACCCGTTGGTTTTTGTTTCTTCTTTGATCTTCTGGCCTGAGTGGACTGGCGTTCTTATAACCTGAGATTCTTCAGTTTCAGTGAGGTATCTTCACTGGTCTTTTTGTGACTTGTGTGACCTGTGGTGTTTTAGGTGCCAACATTGCTTCTTGGGTCCCTAGATGTGGCACAGCCTCCGGGAAAGAAGTCTTCTGCTGAAGTTCTGGGCTGAAATATGGATCCCAGGGGATGGGGTGCAGTTTGGGGATGTTGGTTCTGCTTTAATGAAGTTGATAGGCAGAAGGCAGGGCCAGTGTGGCCTCATAGAAAGCAGCCAGAGTTGTGGGCCAGAATACGGAGCCCAGGGGGTAGGGTGCTGTTGGCACAGTTTTGAGATCTTCACTCAGCATTTTTCTCACATCAGCATTGATGGATTCAGTAGTCACGAAATCGTAGTCTTTGGAGGAATCATGCCACCTGGATTCTTCCCATTTTTGTTTTTTGTTTTTGTTCATTCTCGTTCTGGTTTGGATAGTTCTCATGCTCATATTTAAGACACCTATTCTTGGGGACTCAATCCAGGGACAAACATGCTTGTCTGTAGGCTGTTCCTATAAAGACCAGTTACTCTGTCCATTTATCTTTGTCTCTCACATCTATGAGACATAAAGAAGATCATTGTCACAGTAGACTCCAGGGCATGGCTCCTCCATTCCTTTCCATGACTCTTTGGAAGCCTTGCTCTAGTGCTTCACACAATCACATTCTTCTTTCCATGCTACCTAGGTGTGAATGAGTGTTATGACACTACCACGTGTCCAGCTTATGCCACCTGTACTGACACCACAGAGAGTTATTACTGCACCTGCAAACGAGGCTTCCTTTCCAGCAATGGACAAACAAACTTTCAGGGCCCAGGAGTGGAATGTCAAGGTGAGTTTATGTTGTGTGATTTCCTGGGGAGACACCAATACACATTTACAATCACCCCAGATTGAGCACTTGCCACAGGCCAAAGATCATGGTGCATGATCCCTGCACCATGCTCAGGCAGTTCAGTTGTTTATATGAACAATTGTTTACTGCTCTTATAACCTTGGGGGGAGGGCTTTGCCTCCGATGCAGACATTTGGACGTCTTTAGTCTTAGGAGCTCCCTCCTTTCTTGAGAGGGAGGGTAGCAGTTCAGTCTGTAGTTACTACACGTGTTCACGTTCTAGCACAGCCATCTGGTGTTCGGAAGGAGGTCAGGTGAATGCGGGCTAGGCACTGGGTGTAGTTCTCCCTGTCATTCCTACCCAATGCCCGTATCCCAATCCCCTCTCTTTTCCTTCCCATTCACTCTTCATCTTTTAATCTATCCATTACGTATAAACATGCATAAACTTTTCTTTTTCCTTTTTACCTCCCTCCCTTATTTTCCCCATCTGTCTATCTGCATTCCTCCATCCATTATACTTATCAATTCATCCATACACAGCTATGCATGGGAAATCCATCTGCATTCCCCTCCTTCTTTGCCTCACTCTCTCTTTATTTCTCTTTCTACTCACTTATCAATCCATTTATCCACACATAGGGGTAATTATTTACACACACACACACACACACACACACACACACACACACACACACACA